GTTATTGAAATTCAAATTATTTGTACTGTTTTTACCACTTGCTTTTTTTTTCCACCCAAGGAAGGGTCGCTGTGAGTCGAAATCGACTTTATAGCAGTGAGTTTGGGAGCCCTGGTGGCACAGTGGTTAAAGCATTTGGCTGCTAACCGAAAGGCAGGTGGTTGGAACCCACCAGCTGCTCCGTGGGAGAAAGATGAGGCAGTCTGCTTTCATAATTCAAACCCTAGGGAACAGTTCTACTCTGTCCTGCAGGGTCACTATGAGTTGGAATTGACTTGACAGTGTTACGGAATATATAGGACACTTCTCAGCCAAATACTTCCATTTTTAAAATGGTGTTATTGTTTTCCATCGCTTGAATTTAACAAAATGAATTTAACCAATGGACATTTGTAGATGGACATTTTAGTTGTTACTGGTTTGAGCAATGCTGCAATACACATTTATTCATTTATCTTCAAACACTGTTCAAACACTAAGTATTTCTATGTTGTTGTTGTTGTTATGTGCCATCGAGTCGGCCCCGACTCATAGCGACCCCTTCTTGGGTTTCCAAGGCAGTATCACTACGGAAGTAGGATTGCCCAACCTTCCTTCCGATAGGATAAATCAATTGAAGTAGAATCGTTAGTCATGAATGTCATGAAAAGTTTTCAAATTTAATAGTTATTTTCAAATTGCAGTATATGAAAGATTTTTTAAATACTTGCAGTACTTACCCTAACAACAGTTATTTGATCAATTCACATACCCAGGCTTAACACCTCAGAGTCATTGTTAACTCTTCTATCACCTTCATTCCCTGCAGTCCCTCTAACATTGACACTTGCTGAGTTGTCCATCAAATTGATTCTCAAATGTGTCCCTTGTACCTTACATCCAAGTACTTTCTTCGTTCTCTTAGGTTACTTTATTCTCCAAAAGTGTCATGTGTGTGAGTACTTTCTCTGGCTAATGGTAAGCTTCTGAGGGCTGAAAGTCTGTTTTGTTTTTTTAATTTTTATTGTGATTTAGGTGAAAGTTTACAGAGCAAATTAACTTTCCATACAGTAGGTCACATTCACTTTGTCTCATGACATTGATTGCAATTTCCCACAATGCAACAGCTCCCCTCCCACTTCCTCCCCATAGTTACCTCTTCCCTGTGTCCTTCCCTCCCATGCACTCCTGCCTTCTGAGCTGTCTCCCTGGGCATACACAGGCCTTCTATTCTCCCATGATTGTCTCTCCAAGGAGTGTATCTACCTCAGGTAAATGTTCACCTCATAAGCCTGTCTTTTGTTTGACTGGAAGCCACAGGAGTGGGTTCAATTCCAGGCCTGAAGGGCATCTAGGGGCCATAGTCTCAGGGGTTCCATCAGGCTCTATCAGACGAGCAAACCTGTTCCCTTTTTTCTTTTCTTTTCTTTTAAATGATTTTGAGTTTTGTTCCACATTGTTCTCCCTCTCT